GAGATATCGCCGTAAATTAATTCGAGAAGAGAGTGATAAATTATTTTCAATATTTCATGAAGAATCTAGAGTCAATTTGTACGCAATTTTAAATAATTCTGCTTCGGATAATGATCATGTCGAGATTGAACATGTTGATTATTTCAATAATGCCGTTTCCGAAATTAAACAAGAAACAATAAATTTGCCGTTGTCCGATAAAACGAATATTTCTGCATCTGGTGTTTCTTTGAACCGTGAATTGTTACATCGAATATTGATAACAGAAGAAGACGACAGTAATGCGCAGAAGGAAAACAATAATTTTACGTCATTTTTAGTACAATGGGCTATCACGCATCGTGTTTCTCATGCAGCTGTATCGCATTTACTGTCTGGTTTGAGAACAGCACATCCCATCTTTTCCAATTTACCAAAATGTGCAAAGACATTATTACGAACACCGCGATCTTCCGTTATTTCTGATATATTTCCTGGACAATATTGTCATTTTGGTATTGAATATGGCATTTTACAATTTCTATCTAGGAGCAAGAATACTATTTCATCTTCAATTGAAATTCAAATTGGTATCGATGGTGTGCCGATTTCTCGATCCAACTCAAATCAATTATGGCCCATTTTAGGTCGAATTATACCTCACGAAAAAATATTTCTTATCGGTTGTTATTTTGGGAAAAGTAAACCAGCAGATGCGAATAAATTTTTACAACAGTTTGTAAAAGATATCATTGTTTTGATTAATAAGGGCGTAACTTATAACGGAACAACATATTCAGTGTTAATACATTCTATCATATGTGATGCCCCTGCTAAATCTTTCATTACTCTTACTAAAGGACATACTGGTTATAATAGCTGCCCAAAATGTACGACTGAAGGTAATTTTATCGCTAACAGAATTTGTTTTCCCAATTTTGATGGCCAAAAAAGAACTGACGATAGCTTTCGTAATCAAATTCAAGAAGAATACCATCTTGATCGTTCTATTTTGTTAAACATTCCAAATTTTGGCATTGTATCTCACATTCCATTAGATTACATGCATCTGATATGTATTGGCGTTGTTAGAAAGTTAATAAAATTATGGATAAGTGGTCCTCTTCTGTCTCTTATAC